TCAGCCCCCTGTCGACCAACCCCCCCAGGGCCTTTTCTGCCGGGCAGCTTTCCAGCCCCTCTGCCCCACGCCTGGAGTGCTGCCTGGGGTTGTGGTGACCCCAGGGCAGGACCCGGCTCCTGGCCTTGTTGACCCTCACCCAACTGGGCTGGGCCCATGGCTCCAGCCTGGCCAGGTCCCCCTGCAGAGGCCCCCTCCCCCCAGCAGATCCACACTCCCACCCAGTTTGGTGTCATCTGCAAACTGGCTGGGGGTGCCCTTGATCCCCTTGCCCAGGTCATGGATAAAGATGTCAAACAGAGCTGAGCCCAGCTCTGAGCCCTGGGGGACACCGCTTGTGCCCAACCACCAACGGATTTAACTCCGTTGACCACAACTCTCAGCTCAGCCATCCAGGCAGTTTTTTACCCAGCAGAGAGTACGCCTGGCCATGCCATGAGCCACCAGCTTCTGCAGGAGGATGCTATGGGAGACAGCGTCAAAGGCCTGGCTGAAGCCCAGGTAACAATCAGTTGGTACACAGCTAGTTTGAGCTCCACGACGCCAGGAAGTTTAAGGTGTGGATTTTTCCTCATCAACACCAAGAGTTTTGGGGTGAATTTGTCCATCTCGCCCAGTGGAGAGGGCCCCGCATAGCTGGAGATAAAGGAGCAGGAGAGATGGCCAGGCTGAAAGGGGAGAAAGCTGGCTGGAAGAAAAACACGCGGAAGAGTGCAGCAAAGCCAGTTATCTCAGGGCAGATCAGAGCCAAGGAGATAAAAAGCCAGGGGCAGTTGGGAACCACTGGGGGACGGAACAGCTCAAGGGGCCCCAGCTGCTGTCACGCTTCTGGAAACCTCAACTGGATTTTGGATCAGCTTCTTGGAGAAATGCAAGTAAGGAACAACAACAACAAAAATAAAATATGCGATTGGTTCAAAGCCCTTTCAAGTTCTACGCTGTCAGCTGCAAGAAAGCCAGCAGCAGAAGAGTTCCTCTTTCACATCAGAAGGAAGCAGGAAAATAAAAGTCACTTCCTCCAGGCATCCAAGAGGAATCCCCCCTCTGCATCGCCTGGATCAGCACGAGCCAACTGTCCCGGACGCAGGCTGGGAAGCCCTCGCCATTAAATCAGCCCCTCAGCCTCGGGCCTGCAGTCTGTGCCGGAACGCCACCACCCCGATGCCCCTAGGTGCCGATATGGTAGAAACCTTCATACTCCTGGCCTGGTACCCAAACAAGATAAAGTGGGGGGTGGTGGTGGGGGGGGGTTAAGTGTTTTTGGCAGCTTCTCTCCCTCTCCATGCAACGGCAGAAGGCGACACCTTTGTTTTGCCGGGCAAACCCCCTCAGCGTTATTCAGATCCCAGATTTTGTGGGAGGAGCACGTAACGGTTGCACTCGTGGTCACGCCGGACCTTAAAAAAGAAGCCGGTAGGTCCACCCGAGGCCTGAGGCACCATCAGCACTGACAAACTCACAAACCTAGCAGATGCTTTGTACATTAAGGCTGCTCTTGAGGCTCATCCGAGCCAGCAGCATCCCCTACGCTCAACACCTTTGGGTCCTGAAACAGAGACGAAACAAGGAGACTTGGCTCCAGCGGACAAACCTGCTTCTTGGTTTCTTCTTGGTCTACGCCAGCCCAGAGCACAAGGGGAGCTCGGTGATCGGTGGGCAGCCTCTGGGGAGACTCAGGCAAGCTCCAGTCCTTCGCTGACCCCTCACTGAACTGGAAGATAACGCAAGAGAGCAGCATCAGCATCTTCAGGGTCAAGTTCCTCATCTTCCCTCAGCAAAATACCGCTCTGCGCATGATCCCTACAGTCCTCAACAGGGTAACCCACCTACGAGCTGCGCCCTTTTTCAGGGTACAGGTTGGCTACAGACAGGAGAGATGCGTGCGACATCTCCATGCAAGAGCCTGAGCACCAAAGCTTTGTCAAAAGACTTCTAGAGATGTCCTGGGAGGTGGTTTCTGGTTTAGTTTAAATAGGGATTCGCACCTCGCCTCCCCAAATTTTCATTCTGACCTTCGTGAAGTGCAAGAAAAATAATAATAATAATAAAGAAGAAAAACCACACAACAAAATGTGCCAGGGGAATTCAATGGCCAAAACAGTCTCCTAAAACCTCAGTGTAAACCTCCGCCTCCTTCCCTCGGCTGCATATTTGTCAAGCCATTATTTCTGCTCCCAGCTGGAGTAATCACCGGCTACGGCTGGGCACGGGCTGCTATCGCCATAAAGTGTTTGCTAACTGCTCCAGGTAATCAGGGCGAAACATTTCCACATCTCAGGTACTTAATGGAAGTCTGCCTGAAGACAAAAGAGGAATCGATAAACACGTGGGTTCAGTCCTCACGAGCAGATTCGCGCGCCTCTAAGGGAGGTGTTTGACCATCCCCGAGGCACAGGAATCCTCACAGCCAGCTCCTTCCTCTTATGCAAAGCCATTTTCCGCTCCCCCCCCTCTCTCTTCTAGGAGGTTTCCAGCTGATTTGATGCACCACCGGCAGCTCTCCCCCACCCACACTGCTGCCTCCACGCAGGGCCCAGGAGCAGAGGCAGCTGCAGGTCCTGCCGGTCGGGGGTGGGGTAAGCGTACGATGCCATTGCACGACTCAGTTTCAGGTTTCCGCTGAGCGCCGGCCAACCGGCATCACGAGGCAGGCACAACTAAAGCCCCTTTCGAAGCCACTGCTGCAAGATGAAAGCAGTGAAACAGAAGCCACCAACCTCACTTAGCTCTGACCCCGCTCTCGAGCCTGTTTTGATGACAGTAGGCTTAAGAGTTAACCAGGCCTGAGGGAGCAACCGCTCTCCTACGACAGCGGCCTCGCTGTCTCTGCCAACAGAAACCCAAATCCCAACGATTTGAACCTCTTAAGCCCAACAGGCCCAGCCCTGTACAAATCTTACTTTTTCAAATTCAATTTTGATGTAGAAGTCATCGTCTTGCTCGGCTCGATGCGGGGCTGTCCCCTGATCCTGCAGTTCAGCTGGAAGATCGTGGTGTCCTGCCAGAAGCAGTTCCTCACTCTCCTCTTCTGCGGGCACCGTGGCCGTCTGGCAAGGCTCTGGTTTCTGGAGGAGATGGGTGTAAATATGAAAGTCAAATGCGGCTGCTTTGGTGCCCAGGGCAAATTCAACATCCCCGTGCATGGGTTAGAAGTAGCTTTGACCCGAGGGTGCTTGTTCTGTAGCGTCAGTCGAGATCTGGCGAGCAGCCACACAACGTGTTCAAGCATCACTGCAGGGCACGAGAGCCAGAAAATCTGAATTTAGCAAGGTAACTCGTGACTACGTTCTCACCAACTGCAGCCACGGAGGGACAGACGTGTGTGGGGCGAAGGGAAGGCGAGGAGAAGACCTCTCCAGGCACCGTTTTGCAACTGCAAGGAGTTGGGGGGATCTCTGGAGCGACACTCCAGTATGTAGCATACTCCTTCAGATGGGAAGTGGGCAGGCTCCCCGGTGGCAATTAGCAATATTTTGAGAGGCAGCAGATTGTTTCCTACAAACTAAAAAAATCAAAATGCCAGAAGCAAGCTCGGAGCCAGGATTTTTTTTTTTTTTTTCCCCTTCCCTGCCTGGCTGTCCCTTCCTTCCTAGGATGGGAAGAGCAGGGCTGCTGGGAGAGGGAGAGGAAGGATCAATGGGAGGAGAGCAGGTCACGCCAGGATCCCTCGGGATGGCTCTGCTGCAGGACAGGGAGGACGGAGGACAGCCTGGAGTCAGTCTGAGCATGAGAGTATCCAGCAGGCATAGGAATTACTCCATCAACCCCCTCCTGACAGAAGGACAACACAGAAGAGCTGCTCCGGTGAGGAGAAGGGAATAGAGAGGAACGGTTATTGCTTTGTGAGGATGCTCCGAAGCCCTGAGGGCAGAAGGAAATGATACTGGGGAAAAAAAAACCAACTTTGGGGAATGATCAGTTGGGGAAGAGAATTTGGGTGCTGTCATGCTGGGGCCCCATGGCCATCTCCCAAACCCTAAAGGCTGAAGCCTTGGTGAACACGATCATCTGAAAGATGGGACGGGTCACTTCCAGGCAGTCACCATCTGGGGATCTGCTTGGGCAAGCAGGGAAGAAGCTCTTTGAATGGTGTTTGACCTGAAAAAGAAATCTCTGAGAGAGAGGAAGAACAAGGATTTTGGGAACATGGATTATTGATTGCAGGGAATGCCACTCTTCGGAGGGAAGAAGGGGGCGGGGGGGAAGAAGAAAACCACAGAAAACAGGACTGAAGGAGCAGCAACAGTTTCTTTAAACTGAGCAAAGGCAACCCACCCGGCTAGAGGGGAAAGACAAGCAGCACGGCGCGAGACAGCCCTGGCTAAGCCCCAAGCTCTGCTTGCGCCTGCGATCCGTGCACGGAGGAAGTGCAGCAGGGATCAGATTACTGAAGGAATCACGCAGGAGACAACACAAGCACGCAGGGACAAAAGGAAAAAAAAAAAAAAAAAAAGAAAACAAGTGCCAGGGAGTCCAAAGCTCTGAATAAAACAAGCCAGATCAAGGTAAGAAGTCAGGCTTTAGTAAGAGAGACTAAAGGACTCGCTGCTCCGGAAGGACAGCTATCAGAGGACACCGAGGGCAACAGCGTTTTATGCTCCTGGGCACCAGCGTTGAGCCAAAGGCTTGCTCTGAGCTAGCAGCAGCAGCAAGAAAAATCTTGGGTTATTATTGGGAAGAAAAAAATCAGGTTATTCCTAGAAGCTGAAGTTTTTAAGCAGGCAGGATCTGCCCCGGGGTTACTGGCAGGAGTGGCAGACAAGCTGCTAACAGCCCCCCTCCCCGCCCCCAGAAACCTGTGGAGGTCCAGGTTACACAATGAGCATCTATCCCAAAATAAAGGAGGGGGAAAGGCAATACTAGAGAGAAAATGCTAGCCAAGAGTTTAACTGCCCGACCCCTGGAAAACAGGAGAGGAGAAGTCCTTGCAAACTGCCTGTAAGCTGCCAGAAAAGAAGATAAGCAGCAACCAGCATAAATTTGTCAAGAGCGAGTCATGTCTAGCTGGTGCGAATTTCTCCTCAAACAGGAGAAAGAGGCCTCGGGCAAGGCGCAGCAGAAGCCATCTCGGGTTTAGCTGAGCTTTTGACATGGCCTAATTCAACACTCATGTACAGAAATACCTGTTGGATGGAACTGTTACGTGGGAGGTACAGTACTGAGGAAAATGCTACACAGACTCAGTCCCAGCACAAAAACAGAGTAAGAACTGGGTGGGCTCTGCCGGATAATTTCATTATTGGCCTGGGTGATGGACGGAAGCAGCATCTTGATTACATTTACCAACCCCACCCAGGCACTTGAAGTTGCAGAAGTATTTGAGAACGGGCTAAAAAACGCTTGGGTTTCAAACCAAAGACGTCAGCTGGAACACATGCACGAGGAAATTCAAGGAGGACAAAAGCAAAGGGCAAGGCAGGGCACCATGGCAGCAATTACCAGGGTGGTTGAGTGCACCGCAACCTTTTGCATCTGAAGAGAAGGGAACAAGCTGCTGTCCTGCCGAGCCATGAACATGGCAAACCTTTATACTGGTAGAGAGAGCCAAATTAATATTAGAGCCTTTTTTTTTTTCTCTACTATCTTGGAGTAATAAAACAAGAGTAATGCAATAAATCAATAAATTCCTCCTGGAATAAATTGCTTAGGGAAGCTGTTAAAGCCTCCTTGCCGGAGGTCTGAAGAGAGCGTCGATTAACTGCAAGGTTGAGGTGGGAGGAAGGCCCAGGATCCCTCCCAGCCTGGTTTCTCGCTGTTGAGGATGACTCCCCGCGCCACGGGGCTCCCACGCATCCCCCTGGCCGTCATCTCCAACCCTCCAGCTTGCAGGGGCAGCAACTGTATTATTCATGGGAGGCTTTAATGCTGCTAATAGCCAAGTAATGAATCACTCCTCCTCGCTGAGCGGTCTGAATGCACCGAGGACTTCGACAGAAGGCATGTTTAGCATCCAAGACAGGTAAGAGGTTTCCAAGCCCATAATTATATTGTTTCTGTAACTCTTCTTCGCAAAGCTGACTTCCTTGAACAGAAATCCAACAGCATGCAGAGGAGAAAGAGCCAGACCAGCCCTTTTATATAAGATATTTTCTAGATAACAGCCAGCCAAGATCTACTTCACCCTTGATGAACCCAAGAAAGAGATGGGAATGAAGAATTGCAAGACAGGCAGGAAACTGGCTCCGGAGGAGGCAATAAGACAAAATACCAGGTTGGGTTGCTGCTGGCATTCTCCGGGATGGACAAAGTACGTCAGTTTAAGACAGGTCTTGGCATAGAAAGCAGAATAACAGCTGCGACACAAAGCTGCGCTTGAGAACTGGAGTGACAAAAGCAGGATGAAATGCAACGGAACAAAAGGTGAGGTGCTCGGGCCTGACCTCTGTACGTGGCTCCTATGCGCTGCTTTGAGGGAAGCAGATGCACGCCAACAATTCTGCACCAGCAGCCAGCCCTGGGTGAGGAAAACCCTCCAGATCTTTGCCACCCACACAAAACAAGGGATTCATGCAAGAGTCGTTGAGGTTTGTTGAAGAAATAAAGGCACCTAAGGGGAGGGCTGATCATCACATTCCTCCCAGACACCCAGATCACAATCTCAGCCTTTAAAAAAGTCTTTTTTTGAATTCTTGTTTCCTAGTTTATCTCTGCAGAGGCATTTTCACCCACTTTATCCTGCTGCCTTCTCTGGAGGGCAGGAAGAACAGAGGGACAGAGCCCTCCGGCCGCTGAAATCCATGGGCTAATCATCAGGCGGGTCAGGAAAGCCCAGTTTGTTTCACTTCTGCCGAAGGAACTCACTGAACTATGCTTTGGATTTGCTAACTAGAGCCAGACCTTCAACAATTACCCTTGCAAGGTAATTCCTCTTACTCTCCCCCAGGCACCCTTCGCTCACCTCTCGCCTCCAGACGCCGCCGGGGAGTTCGGGGGGACCGGCCCCTTGGCGCGTGGTTTTGCAGGACGCCAGCCGGCGCCGAACTTGCTTCACGGTTTTGCTAAGCTGCCGTCCAGAGGGAAGGCAAAGACAAGACAAAACAAAAGGTCACCTGCTGCTCACCACGAGGGCCACGCCAAGAGGTTTAGCTGTGCAGAGGAGATCTCCTGACGCACCCTGCTCCAGCCAAGGTGCGCAACAAAACACAGAATTAGCTTCACAAATGGGTACAAGGCGACCTGCGGCCCAAGGTGTCTTTCAGAGCTGCCTCAACACACCGAAACCCCGATCCAGGCAAGGCAAAGGACTTGGTTATGGCTCATCCGCTCCCAAATCGCTTTGCTGAGATGCCCAGAGTCCCAGATCCCCGACTGCCCTGCCCAGTGCCCAGCCAGGAGTGATTCTCCACCCCAGGGGAGGCTTCAGCTGAATAACTCCAGCTCCCTGGCGAACACCCGCGCTTTCTAAAATGCCAAACACAGCATAAGCATCACCATTAAAAAAAACCCAAAAAACCTTAGAACAGTCCCTAAGGCCTAACCCCTAAGGTTTTTCAAGATTTTGCGGTCCCCTATGCCTGGTCTGCAGGAGCCAAGCTGCAATGAGGTGGCACCACCTAGCGCCACCTCTCCAAAACGACAGGCCTGCAGAGCAACGAGCCGCTGCGTGCGGAGAGAAGCAGCATAAGCATCACCATTAAAAAAACCCCAAAAACCCTTAGAACAGTCCCTAAGGCCTAACCCCTAAGGTTTTTCAAGATTTTGCGGTCCCCTATGCCTGGTCTGCAGGAGCCAAGCTGCAATGAGGTGGCACCACCTAGCGCCACCTCTCCAAAACGACAGGCCTGCAGAGCAACGAGCCGCTGCGTGCGGAGAGAAAATCCACCGCATCTAGAAGCAGCGGGGCAAGTACGACCACAGTGTCCTCCAAGAAGAGATCTACGATCCCTTTTGAGGCTCTGGCGGGAGCTACGGAGGAGTACAACAACATGCAGTAAACCAGAGCGAAACCGTAAGCCAGTGCTGCACTCAGTACACGAAAATAAATGAAGGATGTGTTGTGAAAGACAAATATTGCCTGTCCTCCCATTTCATAGAATCATGGAATGTTTTGGGTGGGAAGGGACCCCCAGAGGTCACCCAGCCCAACCCCCCTGCAGGAGCAGGGACACCTTGAACCACAGCAGGTTGCTCACAGCCCCGGCCAACCTGGCCTGGAATGGTCCCAGGGATGGGGCCTCCACCCCCTCTCGGGGCAACCCCTGCCAGGGTTTCACCACCCTCACTGCAAAGAATTTCTTCCTTAGATCCAGTCTAAAC